ATAGTTACATGTCTCCCTCCCTCACCTCATTTAGGTCTTTGTTAAGACATCACCATCTTTCCTAGCCACTCTAAAACAGCACCCCCTCTGCATTATTCTCTAATGTCTACTTTATTTTTATAGGATTTTATGGTACCACGAATTTTATTGAAGCGTATATTTATTTAAGTGGCTTTTTTAAAAACAGATTTTAGAACATTTTCAGCATCCATAACCATTAGTAGTCAGTCATTCCCCAGTTCTCTCCATCTTCTTCTGTCTTCTCCTCAACACACTCCAGCACCAGGCAATCACTTGGCAAGTTTCTTAACTGACTTTTAATTATATAAACTTACTAGAGCAGGGACCTGTAGGTTTTGTTTCTTGTTTGACCTAGAACAGTGAGAGCAAATGATATGTATATGTGCTCATGACAAAAAGATATTTAATATTAGAATGGGAGTAATTAGCAGCAGCACATATTTATTTTAAACTAATGGTCAGCTGGGTCAGTTTTGGTCTAAAGTCATGAATTACAGATTTGAGAGATTGGTAGCAGTCCTGGGTCTTCCTACTTAACTTTTACACTACCGCAAGAGGGAGAACAATGGCAAAGTACTAGATAAAGCATGAAGGATAGTAACTATCTTATGTGTATATTTCAAGGTCGTAGATCTGCTAGTATCCATGTGTAGGTCTGCGTTGGAATCTCCTAGAAAAGTTGTCATTTTCGAGCCATATCCTTCTGTGGTAGATCCTAATGATCCTCAGATGTTGGCCTTCAACCCCAGGGTAAGTTGTGATCCTAGCACACCAGTCACAAAGCTTGCTTTAGCAGGAATTGAGATTTTAGTATCATTAGCTCTTTCTGTCTAAGTCTCTATCTCTTCAAGCATATCTGTGGTTATTTTAATTTTATTGTATATTTTTGGAGGTTCTGACTTACATAACCTTATTTTAATTTTAAACATCATGGGTAAAGGGACAAGTTTTCCTTTTCCTTTTGTGTTTTCACTTCAGTCCTCCCTTCCCCTTTCCCTTCTCCCTCCCCAGCTGTCTGAAGGTTAGTGAAAGTTGAATTCATATCGTTAATGGACCAGCATTTCTTCAGAAAATAATTTTATAAATATTCATGAAGATTAGGCAGAATCCTTCTGAAATAACAAAATTTTCAAATTGCATAAGAACTAAAAATTGCTTTAGTTTCTATTACTTGAAATAATTTTATAGAAATAACTGTATCAAATTTCCTTAGAATAATTTTCCTTCCTAAGTGGTAACAGTACACATATTTACATCATGCTTAAAAATGAATTATCAGTTGGGTGAGTGGCACGCTGTCAGCCATACTCCTTTGGTAACAATATTCTAATCTAAAGAAAATAAAAGTAATTGTGGGACTTGAAGTGGATATTTGTATTTTAGACGGATTCTGTGCTTACTTTATTCATTGTGGCTTAGTGTTTTAGTGGCAAAACCTGAATCAGGAGCCCCATATCTCTTTGGTATTTCTAGATTTTACCGTGTAGACTGAATATGATTTTGTGTACTTACATAAGGACTAGCATTGTCTTCTTTTTTCCTTCCCTCTGACTCAAGTCATAAATCCTATGTCCTTGAGCCATTCTATTATAGTTTTCCCTTTTATTTACACAAAACAGTCATTGCTTTCAAATTGACCCCTAGGAAAAATTTACATACAGAAATAATATGTTTCTCTAGTGATGTGTAGACTTGCAAAGGCTTAGCAGTGAATATTGGTTTTTAAAATTTTTTTCTATTAAACAGAAAAAGAACTATGATCGAGTAATGAAAGCACTGGATAGCATAACTTCTATCAGAGAAATGACCCAAGTAAGTATGTCATCTTCTGGTCTTGCACCTAATATTTTTAAAATGCCTTAGTGTTCTAGCCATGTAGTGAAATGTAGTTTTTTCTGTTATATAGGGTATAATTAAAATCATTTTAAGAATTATGCTTTATTAGGATGTGTTATTAAAGTACAACAGCATATTAGCATGACTGTGCTAATGTGACTTTGGGACAGTAAGTGCGTAATTATAGTCCTGATACTGTGCTCTCAAACTCAGGCAAGAGCCTTGAGTACATATAGGTATGTCTAGATATTTTTGGACAGAGGTCAAATCTGGCACCATCTTCCTAGAATGTCAATTTTAATTGATGGTATCAATTTCAAAACATTTTAATTTTAAAATAAAAATAGAAATATTCTTTAAAATGAAAATTTTGCATAAATATTTTAGATATAACACAGAATCTCAAAACCACTTTGGAAGATACCAGACTCCCTGAGAATATGAGTATATATTTTTGGTCATTAGGGAGGCTTTGGTGGAAAAGTTTGATGAACAAGGATCAGGGTTTGTTGTGAAAATCTAACACATTGCTGGGCTGTAGTCCAGTACTTGGAAAAGCGCATGCTATTGAATTATTGAGGCCTTTCCACTGCCAAAGATTTGGAGAGAGGTTTAAAACTCATCATTGTAAGTAGATATTAATAATCCAAAATTGACAGCAACACACATTATGTGTACAGCTTACATATAGTGGTTTCAAGGGCTTGCACTACCCTAGAGACCCTTGTAGTCTTATAATGAGTATTACCCTGGATCATTTATTTTCTCTGGGTGAGGAAAAGGGGGATGAATCCTCCTGTCCTAGGGGCTACTAAGCTTCTACCCCACTCCCTCCCCACCCCCCATCCCAGCACCGTCTCCTCTATTTGAAGACAGAGTTCAAAAGTTCATTTTTATATTTCCCATTTTGATTCTTAATTCTTTTTGTCATTATTTATTCATGTGGTCAGATATTCATTCATTCAACAAAATAGTATGTGTCAGACGAATGGTAAACAAGAGATTCTTTAATTCACAAGTGCTATTATTTGCTTAAAAACCACCATCCCTTTCATTTGTATTTCTGTGCTCCTACCTTTCTGTATTACTTGAATTCTTTCTCAAACAAGCATTCATTATTTGTATAGGAAAAGAAAACAATAAAATGCATTTCCATTTCAGAGACAAAAGGACTTAATGCAATATCTAACAAAAAGTTAAGTAAACATTTTTAGTCATGAAAAAGACTTTGGTATAGGGTATTTATACTATACCCTAGACCCTGATTATTCTTGGATTTAAAAATAGCTACAGACTCTGACTCTGGTATCAGCTTTCTGCCAAAAATTGCTTCCTTTATTCTGGGTCATGCGTAAGCTATTTTAATAGGAGGCAATGTAGACGTCTGTCAGCCTAGGAAGTTAGAGGCCAAAATTGTATAACTGGCTTCTCAATGAGTGTGGCCTGTGACCTTGGGCAAGTTGCTGAATTGCTTGATGCCTCAATGTCTTCACTGCTGAGGTGGAAATAGTAACACTGCACCCTCTTACACTGGGACTTCATAAGGTTGCTGTCAGGTTTTATTGCATCAAATTCTTTAAACCTCTCTGAATAAATATACCATTATACTGTCCTATTTGCTAGAACGTACTGCCCTAGCAATAGCACTAAATTGTCAGAGAGATTGCTCTTTGTTCTATAGAATGGTTAATTATCTGGATAAATTCCATTAAATACTTGTTAAAGAAGGGTTCTTCTTATGTAAATTGTGTCCAATTTTCTACACTTAAGTCTGTACCCTCAGATATGAGCAGCATGACTAGCAGCTATCACGAGTTTTGCTTTATTATTAGCTAAAAGTTAAAAATGGCCTGTATTCCAGCACTTTGGGAGGCCGAGGTGGGAGGATTGCTTGAGGCTTGGGCTGATAGCAAAAAATTAGCCAGGCATGGTGGTGCGCGCCTGTGGTCCCAGCTACTCTGGGAGGCTGAGGCAGGAGGCTCGCTTGAGCCCAGGAGTTCGAGGTTATAGTGAGCTATAATGACACCACTATTGCACTCCAGCCTGGGCAACAGAGGGGGGCCCTGTTTCTAAAAAATAAATAAATAAAATGGTCATCGTCAAAGAGACACTTTACAGGATACTTTTTAAAGGTGGCAAGACAGATTTTTATTCAGAGAACTGCAGTAGGGAAGAGAGACTGCAGTACCAACTGAGCTCAACTCTAAGACAAAGGAGACTGAGAGTTTTAAAGGTAGAAAGAGAGGAAACAAATGGGGATATGGGGAAGTGAAAAAGCAGGGGAAGAAAGAAGGGACTAGGGGAATTATGTGTAAATGAGAAGTTACAGATGGGGGTAAGTGGAGAATTACTGAAAATGGTTTGGCCAGTTAGGCTGGTACAGTATATATTTTGTGGTTTGGCAGCATTGCATTTTCTTGAGCAGAGATTTTCTTGAGACAGGAGGTCTCGGGGGGTCACCTTTAGGGACACGACCTGTGATAAATGGAAACCAGGCTAAAGGTCAAGTATCTCAACACAGCGTTTGGGCAAGTCCTTCGTGCAGCATGGAAGTTCACAGTTCCCATCGTCTTGGGAGAAGTGACTTGGGTAATTGTTGCTGTTCCCATGTCAAGTCCACAAATTTTCAAGTTTAAGTAGATGAGGCATATCGTTCACTCTGATTTTCCTTTTGTAAAAAAGGAAAAATGAATTTTTAAGAAAAATCAAGGGTATAATGACTTTTTTTCCAGGCACCATATCTGGAAATCAAGAAGCAGATGGATAAACAGGACCCCCTTGCTCATCCCCTACTGCAATGGTATAAAATTTTAGTTTTCCTCTTAATGAAAACAGCATCTTTTTTTATTGCTTGCTTTAAGAAAGGAAAAAAAAAA